TAAAAGATTGAAAGAAAATACATTAACATTAAATAATTTAACTGTTACTGTTCAATGAAATGGCGACCATACATAGTAGGTATTTTAAGCCAAGTATGAATGGAGATGAGTGTAGGATGAGTGGCGCGATCTTGTAGTCTTGTTAGTGACTAAGGCCGACATTCCTTAGACACTTAGACAGAGCTGTTAATTAATAGCCCATACAGCTAATGGCAACTAAGGGACCTACAGTTAATAGTGGAAACCATAATATATACCATACCTAATAAATAAAAAACATTCTTTAAACTCTCGGAGATCCATGATGCAAGGGTATATAATGGGGGGAAAGGTAGACACCTTCACAGTGACATATAAAATTATTTTGTTTCATGATGAGGATGGATGGCTTGAGAAAGCATACAGACAAACATTCATTTGTTAATACACTGTACTTATAGTTGAAGAGGAAAACAAAATCTAGAGAAGAGGAAACAGGAATTAGATTTTCCTCTACCACCGAGGTTAAAAACAAGTTGATATCCATTCTCAAAGGAAACTTGGTGATTTGCTGAGTGGATTTGATGCAAATAAGAAAAACCATCTCAGAACTGTTCAGTAATGCTTCGGTCAAGTTCAAGGTCTAAAGAAAAAACTGGTTTGTTTGAAACATTGCATCTCTGGCTTCTAAAGTACAGTATTTGCTTGCTTACTACTATGCTAGAATTAGAATATGAAAAATAGATTTAAACAAAGTCCACCTCTTTAGTTTGATATGAAATGTATTCCAGACACAAAAGTATGAGTGTATTTTCCCGTACTTCCCAACCAAGAAAATGGTAAATGTAATCATATTATTGTATCAACTGCTGTTTTGCTACCTACACTATAAAGATAAAATTATAATGTCAATGATCCTGTATTTAAGAGATGTGTGAAGCTTTAACGTCGTTAGTTAAAGAAAGACTATACAAGTCTACAGTCTTTTCTTTTGGAGGAAAAGTTTCCTACTTTTGATGGAAACGTCCAACATTAGATATATGATATACATCGATGGAAATATGTGGCATGTTTTTTAAGTAAGTACCGTTTTTAAATTTCTCCGTTCCAGCGCTGCGATTGGGATTTTGGACATTTGGACATTTGTGTTGCATCTATCGGCAAGCCTGCACCGGAAATTCGGCAACAATTGGCTGTGTTTACATCTGGTTTTAAGCATTCAAAATGGTGCCACCAATTAAGACTGCCACCGATTGTGAAGTGCACGCTGTAATTAGATTTTTAAGTGCTTAAGGTGTGAAAGCTATTGAAATTCATCAACAGATTAGTGAAGTTTAAGGTGAGAACATTATGAGTTACAGAATGTTACGCAAGTGGATAAGGGCATTTAAAGACAGCCGCACCAACGTTCATGATGAGCAACGCACTGGGCGGCCATCTGTCATTACTGATAAATTGGTGCGTAGGAAAAGTCGATGAAAAGTGAGAGAGAACAGTCGGTTTACGATCTCATCATTATCTGAGGAGTTTCCTTTACTCATAATTTTCTCGCCATACACTTCACGAATCTGTCGATGAATTTCAATGGCTTTCACACCTTTAGCACTTAAAAATCTAATTCCAGCGTGCACTTCACAGTCGGCGGCAGTCTCAATTGGCGGCACCCATTTTTAATGCTCGAAACCGGATGTAAAAACGGCCGATTGCTGCCAATAGATGCACATGCACAGCACAAATGTCCAAAATGCCAATCGCAGTGCTTGAACGGAGAAAAGTAAAAAACGGTACTTACTTAAAAAACATGCCTCGTATATTAAAAAGGAACAAGTTCATTCGCATGTTTAAATTTATTAAATTCCTCTGCCACAGCAAATCTGCAGACTAAGCAAATTTATATTTGAATGGGATTTTCACTTGAATATTTCCTTAAACAAGTCATAATTAAATATTATAGTAAATAATGGAGTGGCTTTTGTTGGATGGGGACAGTGGCATACATAGACAATTCAACTAATCTAACAGATCCTATCTTGTCTAGATAGTTGAGCATATATAGAGGTAGGCTTTGAGCTACCAGATGGTAGAGTTTTATATCGGTAGTAATTACTCACAGCTGATTGTCATGCATAAACCTGAACCTGACGATAGAAGAAGTTCTGCTTTGACCACTAGATCAGCTCTGTCCCTTATTTACCGAGATAATAACCAACAGTTTTCATTTAACCTAATACCTACTGCTTTGAAAACAGTCTTGAAGCTTTTGCAACACTATGACACATCTGAGGAACCATAATAAAAACACTGTGGTAAGAAGTATAGCTATGTTTATCCGTCATTATAAGGTTTGTAGTTAGATGAAGTAAACAGGCTCCACTGCAGGCGCAACTGCAGCAGGGTAGGTGTAAGGTAGCTCAGCCACTGCAACTGCAGGCGGGGCGACCACTCCATTGTAGTTCCGGGCTATGTACTGTGAGCTAGTGGCGGTGACTACTGCGGGGGCAGAAACTACAGGGGCGATAAATTGAGGGGCGGGGGCAGCAACAGCACACCCAATGGCAGCCAACAATACAATCTGAAATAAATCATTTACATCTAAAATGAAGGCTTATTTACACAATGTCTAGGACACTTTTAAGGATGTAACCTAGAGCCCAAGGGATAATAGGATGTAACATAGAGTACAAGGGCCAAGCATTAGATTGTAGGGACAGGCTTACCAGAATGGGAAGTGTCTACTTCGTGTAGGTAGAGTGTATAATTTTTTGTGTCTTCCATAGTGGACTCCCTCCCATTCACATAAGCCTGCTATCCCAAACCAAAATATTTTTCATTTGTGTGTTTCTATCGCTATATCATAGACAAATAGAATAAACATAAACTGTCAAAGGAAGGGTCCGCGATCTGTCGCTAGAGTGTCCTCAGTGTTCGTCGATTCGCTGCCATCGTAGACTCACCACTCACCGTCTGCTACCAGCAACTTTTTACATAGTTTTGTAGCTCTATTTTGATTTTTTCCACCCTGTATATGTATTAAATAGAGTTTAACCAACTTCATTGATTGTACCATCATTTCAGGTACCTGTCATATTTATTTTCTTATTGACTCTTAACATTATTCAGTATTCCGGCATATGATGGCTGTGTTTATCATTATAGGGTAGTGACTCAATGTGTATAATATACTTAACAAATTGAAATCATCCATCAATTTAAGTTCAAATTAATATAGTTCTGTATTACTGAACAATTTTACCAATACCAATATGTAAAATATAGTTCCAAAAAGGACAATACCAATGTAAATACAAATACCGTCGCCACAGCAAACCTGCAGCAGACTAAGCGTATTTCCATTTGCCTGATTGGATTTTTTATTAAAACAATTTAAATAACATTATGATTAACGAGTACCTAAGTTTGCTGCTTCAGGGGCGCTAATAAAGTTTATTTTTTAGTAAATTAATAGCTTAGTATAAAATAAATAAATTTCCCAAGTTTGATCAAAATATATCCATAAACAAGCAAACTATATTTTACAGTATTTTTAATAATAAACATGGGAATTTTAAGTATAAATTTTTTTAAATTTTCTCTGTAACCAATTATTACGGCCCCACAAAACCCCGTTCCTGTGGACCGATCATGCTGGTTCACGAAATCATTCAAGTTCATCCCGTCCTACACCTTCAAGTCAATTGTCATCAAAATCGGACACAAATAACAAGTTATCACGTTCACGGACACAGACATATAACATTTTTAACTAATGAAATTTTACACTCTGGAGACATCAAATTGAAGAAGTAAATCGGACCTGGGCCTAGGTCTTACTGTGCCACCTATGGTAACAACTACTTCCCTAGGGAAATGCTAAAAGTATGATTTTCCCAACTCTTTATTGTCAAAAGCCATGCTTTAACCTGACAATTTTTTATTCAGTTGCTAGTATCTCATTTAGTCTTTAGAGGGAAAGCATGATTTTTTCCCTAACAATCCCTGAACTATAAAGACTACTATTTTAAGCTGATAAACATTTTTTAATTATTTGTAAATAAGTAAGTGAGTAGCTTACCAGTGAAGGAGACATTGTAGGCCTGTGTAGACTGTCGTGGACTGGAATGGTGTGGAGACTATTTATACAACAGTCACACAGTCTAATCATAATGCACAACAGGGAGGATTGCCGAACTGACAAGGTCTCTGATCAAGGATTCTAGTGACTTATGTGCCAACAGTGACATGTTGAAGTTTAGCAACAATCTGATGTAAAAAAGGAATTAGGTTGATAAGGCGAGTGTTTCTTCTAACTCTAAAGATACAACTATATGATTGTTTGATGAATAACGAGGATGACTGATTGACTAATTGCCATAAATCTTGCCAAAGTATAAGTATATATTATCTTGAGTTCAATTTTGACAAAATAAATAGGGCACCTACTGATAAAAAGACAATTATTTGTATTTCACTTATTTAAATGTTCAATGAAATGAAAATGAAAATACTTTAACAGGTATGGCAAACAAAAATTCATAGGACAATATTTAGGATGTTGGTCAAAAATACTAAAATCTGGAGCTAATAAAGAACCAACTTTTCTTCACAACTTTTTTTCTTATTAATCAAAAGTCAAAATAGCTTCCTGTTATACAATAGGTTATAATATCATACTCGAAAACAAATATACTAACTTAATAAACGAGTATGAAAAAATGTTTTTAACCATTAAGAAATAGAAAAAATGTGCTACCAATCATTAATGTTCACTTTTTTACCTTTAATCTTGAACAATAATCACAAACCATTCTAGATTTTCTAAACAATATCCAAATGGTAATCCAGTAATGTATGCAGTGTCAGTTACAGAACAATATTCAATTCATGAATTGAAAATTCTGAATATTACAACTACTTTTCAATAAACAATCAGCTAACACATAACACTATTGTTTCTCCTCCAGTCGTAACATTTTTGACAGTTTCACCATTGTTGCCGACAAGAGAAGCGATTGGCACTGACTATGACAGCATCGGGTGTGTTAGTTTCCCTTGCAGCATGTTTTCCAATAGTTTTTGGTCAGTTTCAGTATGGTTCCTATTCAGGTGAAACTCAAGAAATCGTCCCCTGCTACGGACAAGAGATGACCAATGGTTCAATCCATATTGGAAGAATACTGTACACGTAAGGATATAGCTTGTTTGGACAAGCTGTGGATTTTCATTATTAATTGATATTATATTAAGGAATCCAGAAAAAAATTGATCAATAATGGGATATCTTTTAAACCAAAATCAAAATTATAAACATAAAGTACAAAAATATTATGATAACTATGATACTGTAAGCGATTGGAAATAGTGATGTTTCCATCAAAATAAAATTGACATAGTTCCAGAATCCTGAACAAGGATCATGCTTAATTTGTACAAAATCAATAAAAATAATCAACTACTAGAGGCCCGATGCTGATCCGTTAAAATAAATATAATATCCAAGAAATAATTAAATTTCTGATTTTGATTGAGCATTACAGTATCTTGAGCTTAACAGATTCAAACGATCAATAGCTCAAATTAAAGCCTATAATTTACTGGTTATTTTAAGTCTACTAAAACATATAAAAACATGAACAATACTGGAGCCATTAATTTTTTAATCATAGAAAAATCTTATGAAAAATAATAATAATTTTTATGTTGGTTTTTCTCTTTGCGTTTGCTTGAAACTCGTCCGATTTGGATAACTAATAGCTTAAATGAAAGCCGGTATTTCACTGAAGGATCTTAGACCAAAATATATAGGATTATATCATTATAACTGGTGAAATACATCTTAAATTGAAGTAAGAATTCGAAAATGAATCAAATTATGTTTTTTTGGTCGAGTAATACAGTAGGTAAATATATGCCAATGATTGATGTGAAATCTTTGTTTGCATACCTTCAATTTGAGACCTCAATCATGAAAATCGGTCGGGTAGAAGAGCCAAAAACGACCTTGGAAAAAACACAAATTTAACTCCCATATGAAATACATAGGGAGCGAATTTCGTTGACGTATAGGCCGAGTGGGATTATAGATAAATATATGCCGATGCTTTATGGCAAATCTGTGCATAAATTGAAGAATTTGAGACCTCAATCATGAAAATCGGTCGGGTAGAAGAGACAAAAACAAACTCGGAAAAAAACCAAATTTAACTCTCATAAGATATACATAGGGAGCAAATTTCATTGACGTATAAGCCGAGTGGGATTATAGATAAATATATGCCGATGCTTGATGGCAAATCTGTGCGTGCATACCTTCAATTTGAGACCTCAATCATGAAAATCGGTCGGGTAGAAGAACCAGACGAACTCGGAAAAGAAAAATCAAATTTTTATAATATATAAGATACCTTCTTATCGTTTTATTCAATTAATCAAGTAGATATTATAATATAGTTTTTTCCATTACACAAAAAAATGTTAGTAAAATAATAAATGATTGGAAATAATGGTTGCTGTTTTTGAAAACACTAAAAATACTACAAAAACTCTTGTAACGTAAATTTTACTTAAAGAAAACATCTATACCGAATGTAATTAAAATTTTGCTAAGATAAAGTTTTTTTTTTAATCGATAAATGTGGAAGATATTTTTGGCTATGTTAAACGACCTTAATTCTTATTCTTATGGATTAGTTTGTATTTATCTGTTTAATTTTTTTTATTATCCATAGGGAACCTAATCGCGACGGAACCTCTCCATGTCGACCTAATTTAAAGAATGCATGTAATTGCCAGTGAGTTTCAATGACTGAATGATTACTTTTTTTAAACGACTTGATAACAAACGCACGTGGCTCAGGCATCGTCTAGGCTCTCAGATAACCTGTTGCTGAACAGTGCGCTGCAGAAAATAGATAGATTTTTTGCCAAACCTTGTAGTTGCTTTGCAGGATAACTTTTTATTCCATAACTTTTGGTCTTTAGAAACAGAACCAGCATCATGGGGACTAACTTTTAACTTAAACCCTGTTTGATTAGGGAGTGTACTGGAGGTCCACCCTTTCCTCCGACAGACACGTCTCACGCAAACACACTATCAATGGTCTGTCCTGAACCCTTGTGTTTTTGTGTGTGATGCCTGCATGAGATATCCGACTCTTCAGCCAGCCGCACTCCCTGGGCATACAGGGTATAGTTCCAAAGCTCAAAATCTTTTTTATAATTCAATCCAATGTTGCAGTTCAGAACAAATTTACAACAATGATCAGATTTACGAGGGAACGTCCAGCAACCTGGATTGCTCGTTTAACAGCCACATTGCAAGTGACACAGTAGGGTTTGGACCGCGTCCCTACACATGGACTATTGACAGGATTGATCTTGTCTCCTCAGGTAATGCTGTCTTTTGGAAAATTCAACTATTAATCCAAAAACCCCTTTGTACGGTTAAAGTACGGCCCTGGTAACAAAGCCAGGTTGAGGCCGTGCCCCTAAAAAAAACTTTACAAATTATAATAAAGCAAGTTGACCAGATGCTGCGCACAAAACTTTAAGGGGGGACTACTGTTACATATGTTATTTATTTACATTTACAGCTGAGATTTCAGATTGTTGTTATGTCTAGTCAGTTTTAGTAAATATTTTTATCACAATTTCATTTACAATCTGTCCAGCTTTTTGAACATTCAGCAAATACGGTAACAATTAATAAAACCACTTTAGTTAGTTTCTATCCATAGACATCTATCTATATCTAATCTATATCTAACTTAAAAACATTTCAATGAAAAAAATTACAATATAAAATGAAGTTATTTAAACAAAGCATGAGCTAAGGTCTATAAGATGAGTTCTTTTCAGCCTGTATGTAGCGGTATTGTCCAAGAGGTTTAGAGCCTGGTGATTAGAATGATTTCAAGCTTTTTTTAGGTATTTTACACAACCATTTTGTTATTTGTTCTTCATTCTTCAACCTTTCTAGTATAATCTTGTCTGTATACAATATCTCAAGAGAAATCAACAAAAAATATATACATTATCCTTTTCTTTCTCAATAGTCTCTTGTGTTCTACTGTAGGTGGTGTGGATTGCCTGGGCGGTGGAGTTGGGTATCCATGGTACAGGTTCAGACTTTACGGCCGGGTATATATCGAGTACCAAGCAACCATATGGATAACCTGGAGGGGACCTTCTGCTGAAGACATGACCAATCCTGCATACCTGATCCAATGTGTCTTCGAGGATACCAATCAGCTGGCCTATCCAGCCAACCCCATCCTATACTGAATCATCTATAGTGTTAGGAATCACTGTTTATTTTATATTTACAATTTATGAGAAATATGTTACCATTCTACACTTGTATCCAACAAAGTTGTAAGAAGCTGCAGAGACTAAAAAATAGAAGGTAATTTTACTGTGTCTTAAAACGTTTCAACATAAATCAATAGATTTAATTCACCAATGAGAACACTTCGGATGGCACTAAATTTTTGTTGGATAAAACATTATTTACCTGGCCTTTGTATTATACCTAACTTAGAGTTTGTAGTTTTTTTTAGCATTTGTATTTGTTGCAGTAGTTGTAACATCTATAAAATATACAGCTTGGTCGCTGAGTATTTACTGTATAATGCTAGTCTGGGAATCAAAAGGTTGCAGGTTTGATCTTGAGAAAAATTACAAAACTGGAGCTTGGGAATTTAATGATTAGTGCTAAAACGCTAATGCATACGCTAATGCTAATGATTAGCTAATTAAACGGCTGGTCTTAGTCCAGTGGTTGATGAAACAGCTGGTCTTAGTCAGTGGCTAATGAAACAGCTGGTCTTATCAGTGGCTTATGAATCAGCTGGTCTTAGTTAGTGACTAATGAAACAGCTGGTCTTAGTCAGTAACAAAGCTAGACAAGGCATCTCATTTCATTCTACACTTATTCTTAAGGTATGTTGGATTGAAATAACTACTGTGGTGGTGTCCCCATCTCAATTAGTAAAATCTAAATAATTAAACGTATTTATTTTTTAAAGTAATTTCATGTTGTTCTATTACAATTTACCAATCCTGTATGCATGCAGATTGAAAGAACACAATGTGCAACCACATACAAGAGAAGAAAGGCAATAAAACTTTGATATTTTACTGAAAACAATATATTTTATAACGTGATTAAATAATTTGAAAATAATAAATTTGATAAAATTTGACTTTTAAATTTTATATTTAAAGCTGTTCTTTAAGAAAGACGTAGAAGTCAAGAATGTTAAAGGATATCTACAGCTAGTTTGAACTGTTTTCATGATTTGAGTGGCAGTGGCACAGCCTTCTGGGCCAGTTGTATCTCTTGGTCGGTCAGAATGTTGAGATGTCGCAGGGCCTGAAGCAGCTGCAGACGAGAGTTGCCGATGAAGGCGTTTGACAGGAAAGTAGGAAAACCTCGGTAACCATCTCCCATGGTGTACAGTGGAACTCTAACGGTGCCTAGGACCTTGGAAAATAAAATCTGAATATTAGAATTGTGAAACGCTAAACCATTATAAAAATTGGTTAGCAGTACTTGACAAGTCTAATGTTGATTAACTGGTCTTGGATCTAGAAGTAAAATGTATTTTATAAAAAAAAGTCCTTGGATCTAGAAGTAAAATGTATTTTATATTACAAAAAACTGCTTGAATAAAAACCCCATAAAAACTATGCTTTTAAAGCTTAGGAGGGGATACGAACGATTAGTTTACAGGTTTGCTGCAATGTAATAACTACACAACATTTTAAAAGATTTCCTTCCTGTCACATTAAAGCCGCGTTTACACGAGACCAGTAAAGTAAAGGTTGCGGGGCAGGTAACCAGCCCTCTTAACCTGTCCGCCAACTGTCCTCATGTAAACAAGGCTTTAGTGAACACTCTAAACCCTGATTGTGTATAGGCCTAATCTCATTACAACTTGTTGTTTAAAAGGATCATTTAGCAAATAGTTTATGGGCCCAGAACTGAACAATTCTAGTACCTGCCCAACCAGGCAACTGTCAGATTTGAGCGGATGAGCCTTAGTTTATGTATCAGGAAATTGGGAATAAAATATATAAGCTATCTATATAGATTCCATATGGCCTAAACTATAAATGTTTTACGGCTACTACACCCAAAAATTATGCTGATAATGATCAATTAATGACAATTTGGTTACAAATTATTAATCCTGGCTTAAGAATAAACAGGCTTATCTAAGAGTCTTCATCATCCTTGGTGAAGTTACGTTTTGGAGGCATTGGGGGGGAAGGTCGCAATTCTGAAAACATTGTAAACACACAACTACTAAAATGGCACGTTGTTGACTCATCTGCCACCTGAGCCAAGTTTCGTAAAAGACTAATAGCACAGTAGCCTCCAACAATACGAGTTAATTTTGTCACCCGTTTCGAACACAGTTTTTCAACAGATTTTCTTGGAATTTGTTAACAATGTACTGGTAGTTGAATAGTTATATTAAAGCTCTTATACCTCAAAAAATTGAAAAAGAAAATAATTTTATCAATAGTTAGAAGTAATTCAATAATATAAGTAACATTAACTTTTTTGGATGTATGAGGCAGGTAAGGGCTCTGGAACCAACATTAATCTGTAGGGGCGGAACATTAGATCTTTACAAATTCCATTAAGAGCTAGGGACATTCGAGGCATGTTTTTAGTGTTTTTGCAGGGGTGAAGAAGACTCTTAAGTACTGTACCTAAATTAAGTGAATTGAATTGAATTGTCTCAACACCCATCTTATTCACTTCTCAGTAGACTACCTTATTATCTTAGTTTGCCTCCTTACTTCAGTTGAAAAATACATTTTGCATTTTCTCCCAGATATAGAACGTAAAAATATTATTAGTTCCATCCAAACTGTCTAAACTCAAGTTTTTTTTAGTCATTAGGTACAAGTTCCTTATATCTGGGAACGAACACCTGAACCTGGCAAGGGTTACCTTGAGTTAACCTATGCTGATATTCTTAAACTAAATTTGAATTCGTGCTATAAATCAAATTAATATGAAAAATGAGTGAAACTAAACATTAATACCTCTGATCCATAATCTTTAGCTAACAGAGCTGTCTTTTCAATTTCCAATATTTCATCTAAACTGACTTCTAAAGCGTAGAAGTGTAAACATAATCGCTTGGCTATGCTCCAATGTGATACAACGTAGTCTGATTCAGAGACATGATGTTTTTTTACATCCAAGTTCATTTCTTCACTAAGTTCTCGATTAAGAGCTTCGACTGGTTGTTCCCCATCATCAACCAGTCCTCCAGGAAAACCCAAATTGCCATCAAACCGCATCTGCATCTGTAAAAACCAAAAAGTCTTAAGAGATTGCGCTTGGTTACAAAATAACTTATACAAATTGACTCAAAGAGTTAATTATAATACTTCCTGTTGAGGTTTTAAAAATCAATTTGTTTACTGGATTCACTTAAATCAATTTTATAACAGTTTTAGGCAATGTCTTGTTTAAAAATTAAACTATAGGTTCCTAAGTTTTAAAAAAATTAGCACTAAACTGTAGCCTATTTGCTTTTGTCTAAAGAAAAGAACATAAATGATGTTTATGTTGGTTTTTATAGCATTATAGATCATAGCACTTTTTGACTTAAATGACTGACCTAAGACTTTTTGTGGATTCAAAATTCATGGGCACCCACTAAAAAAAAATAAATAGGAAATTCATGGGTATACACATACTAAACAAATTTCCAAGTCAAAAGCTGTGGTTATCAGTAGGGCCTATTTGAATAAGTGGAGTTAACCAAATTTGAATAGTTACAATCGTGAAACATATAACTTATCACACAACAAATAAAAAAAAAAGTTCACCTTTGAACAACTATGCAATAACTAACATAATAACTTATAGGCCTACCAAGGTCGTCCAGAAAGTAAAGAACTAATGTGCATCTCACCCAGTGCAAATCCCCTGTGCCTATGATTCCATGTGTGGTCACTTGCTCCTTCCTTTCTCTTCAGAGTGACCTGAGTGTTGTTGCTGTGAGATGTGTTTTTAAAATGGTGCCGCTAATAGGAAATTTCGTAGAAGATAAAGTGCAGAGTGTAAAGAGCTTAGAAAACTCTAACTTAGTAATCTGGGCGTGGTGTCTAGTAATCTTGGTTAGGTTGTCAAGTATAAACCAAACTGCCCTAACCTAAACCCCCCCCCCTAAACACTAAACTGCCTTACAAGTTGTTTAGCGAGATTATCAGGGGTGGTGTCTAGTAATCTAAACGTGGTGTCTACAGGAAGTCTCTGCGTCATTTCAGACAGTTGTAGTGTTGGTGTCGGGTACAGTTTCTTAACTGGGCTATGCTAATATCGATTGAAACTATTGAATCGAAAATATTGATTAATAATCGATATTTTTAAATATATCTATTATAAAATTTAACTATCATAACCTAACCTAACTAACCAAACTTGCTGATGGTGAAAAAATCGCATGAAAGTTTACTAATCGAATCGACAGTTTCAATCGATATTAGCATAGCCCAGTTAAGAAACTGTACCCTTGGTGTCTAGGAACAGTTTAAAAACGTCTTAACTTATAGGACATTTTAGGTGAGTTAGGGAAAGTGAATAACTTAATAACCCTAAAGGGAATCGATTTGAAACTATCGATGCACAGATTTAGATTTGAGCATAAACTTTAACCAAGTGACTTAAGGCTAGCGGTGAGACTTAACTTAGTGTAGGTTTATCTGTAAACAACTCTACTTATTGAAATTTGGACTTAAACTTAGGTCTAGCTCAAATGTCAATTAAGTTTAAGCTAGAAAGAATCTAAACTTATTATCACAGTCTAATACACTTACTAATATGGCAGCTCTTGGGTTGTAAACGCCAAAGGTTTTCTTGTCATTTCTAGCAAAGATCATACAATGACTCGCCTGTGTACTATTAAAATATGGATCATTCTTCAAATTGTCTCTATCTACTTGAATGTAGTCTGAAGAGTCAGTTATCCTGCCAAAATGTTCTGTTGAGGCTAAATGGCCCCAAGTTCGATCTCCTGTATCAGAAGCCATAATTTTCAATAAGCTCTTAGAGGTTGTCTTCCAGTTGATTTTGGTCCTGCACAATGAATTTACTATAAACATTGATATTGGTATCTTCTAAATGATCTGGTGGGGTAATTTCAATAATTATTTGTCAATGAAAAACAGGCTAGACCTAGCATTACCCCTGCTTGTGATTAATTCAAAACTGTTCATAAGACTGGAACCATAATAGGGCCTACTAGCTTAAGTTAGTTAAATTAAGTCAGGCCCTGCTAACTTTTTAATAACCACGAGCACACTGTTGTTACACTTAG